AATGTTCCACGGTGTGAAAAATGATAAAACAATTGATAACGGATGTTAGGTGATTTCAAGGGGTAGATAGATAGATAGATAGATAGACAGTGTAAGAAGGATATTGTCTACAGAGGAAGTGTCCGGGTGCTATTTATATTCATTTACCGCTCAACTGGTCCTCCAGCTAAGGTCCTCTGCTTCATCCATCAAGCTGATCTCCCTAGAAAACGATTAGAATGCTACGGTCGACACCCGCACTCGTTTAACGACAAACGAAATTAATGGAATTCTAATTACCGGAGTGCTTAATTGACGAAGGGTAGTCGATTAACGAACGGAGTGCCATTAAACGCTGTTAGGAAATAAGCTTTAGCAATAAATAACATAGGAATATTTTCAAATGTGAAAATTTAATATCTCGAGAAGACGAACGTACAGAGCTGGCCAAAGGGTGTCTCAAGACGACGGTTCCTCTTTTTCTCGGGAAACGTTCTGAACCGCACGGGGATCTCGCGACGCGGAGTTCCGCATTCAGAGCGTGTACGCGCGGCATTTTTATCTAACCCGCGAGGACGTACCGCCGGGAGACAAGCGGGGGATTACATATGTGGAACGCGTGGGCCGGCGTAAATCACGAGGAACGATAGCTATCGATCGTCGATAGACACCGCTGGTCGCACCGGGTGCACTTTTCATACAGGCGAAAATTTCTCCCGCGCCTATACACACGTTCCTTTCGTTTGCCACGGTTTTCATGCCAACTGACGTTCAGCGACGCGCCCGTCAGATCGACGTGGATCGAATGGGAATTTCGGTTTCTTCTTCTTATTCTTCTTCTTCTTCTTCTTCTTCTGCGGGAAGATCGTTTTATGGCATGCCAATCGCATTTCAAATTCTCGAACGGGTAAATAAATCCTGACGGTTCGACTCCTTTGTACATGTATCCTTATCTTGATAACGAAACAAGGATAGATGCTTGAAATGTAAAAGACGAGACCATCTGAATCCTTGGAATTCGTAGAAAATAAATATTGCAAGAAATTTTATAAGAACGAATGGAATTTTCAAGTTTGATTGTATTAACTTTAAAAAAAACAATCATTTTAAGAAATTAGTATAGTTCAACTATTTTTTATACGTATCAGTTATTTTAGTTTTGTCTGGGATTAGCAAAAAATGATTTTTGGTAAATTAATATTGTTTATTGAAATTAATGAATTAGCAACAAATTTTATTTGCATAAAATGTTGGCAATGATGTCATATTTAAATGCCTACATGACTGAGTGATGAGTTTCACAAAAAACTCAGAAAAGTGTCTAAAACATTTTCTATAAACCTCTTAAGTCCTTCCTAATTATCATCAAATAATCGCATGACGTCACTCCTAGTTATCATAAAAAAATCGTATGGCTCGAATGGGTTAATTCTGAGAAAAGGATAGGCGCGTCGATCTGAATGCAGACGGTAAATAACTCGGGCGTTACGCCTACTAAACGTCGGTAATAAGAAGGTTAATGGCAACGGGCCACCGTAACGATGATAACAATCATCATAACCGTAACAGGCGTAATAACCGTAATGACCAGTGGGATGAGATAATACGTTAGCGTCGCAAAATTTGGCGGACGCGTGGAAATTTGTGGCCCCCAGAATGGCGAAGCCGCGTGTCTCCGAGTCGGCCATAATTCCACGAGCCGCGGAATCCGTGTTTCATGGGGCGAGCTTAATCCGTCGACGGGCTATCCGTTCGCTCATTAATGCCTTCTTACGAGTCGTTTGTTTTTCATTGTAAAAAGTATTATTGAATATGGGAGAAAAAATTTCTGACTCAAGAATCGTTGCTTATTCTTACGCCGGTATTTAAAATCGTTGCTTATTCTTAGGCCAGTATTTACAGTCGTTGCTTATTCGTAGGCAGGTATTCAGAGTCGTTGCTGATTCTCAAGCTGGTATTCAGAGTCGTTGCTTATTTTTAGGTCGGTTTTTAGAGTCGTTGCTTATTCTTAGGCAGGTATTCAAAGTCGTTGCTTATTCTTACGCCGGTATTTATAATCGTTGCTTATTCTTAAGCTGGTATTTATAGTCGTTGCTTATTCGTAGGCCGGTATTCAGAGTCGTTGCTGATTCTCAAGCTGTTATTCAGAGTCGTTGCTTATTTTTAGGCCGGTTTTTAGAGTCGTTACTTATTCTTAAGTCGGTATTTATAGTCGTTGCTTATTCGTAGGCCGGTATTCAGAGTCGTTGCTGATTCTCAAGCTGTTATTCAGAGTCGTTGCTTATTTTTAGGCCGATTTTTAGAGTTGTTGCTTATTCTTAGGCAGGTATTCAAAGTCGTTGCTTATTCTTACGCTGGTATTCAGACTCGTTGCTTACTCTTACGCCGGTATTCAGAGTTGTTGCTTATTCGTAAGCCAATATTCAGAGTCGTTGCTTATTTTTAGGCCGATTTTTAGAGTTGTTGCTTATTCTTAAGCAGGTATTCAAAGTCGTTGCTTATTCTTACGCCGGTATTTATAATCGTTGCTTATTCTTAAGCCGGTATTCAGAGTTGTTGCTTATTTTTAGGCCGATATTCAGAGTTGTTGCTTATTCTTAAGATCGTCTCAAGCATTTGCTTAAGTCCCTGTTTCCTATACAAAACAGGCATAAGAAATGCTTAAGACGATCTTAAGAATAAGCAACGACTCTGAATACTGGCCAATGAGTATAAAAAGGTGTAGATTGTCTGAATACGAACCTTGCATTGAAGCTCGTACAAGGATTAGTTACCTGCAACGATTGCATCTCGTAGGAACTGCGATGTCGTGCGAAGCAATATCGCGACGGTCCGTAAAGAATGAATGGATGTCCCGAGGCGAGGCGATGATAGATTACCTATGCAGATCGATCGGTTGGGTTGTTCGGACGGACTCGCGTGGACAGGAAATCGGTTCCGGGCAAACTTATCTATCCGTCCGGACTGGGGCCCAGGACAAAGGATAATAAATGGTAGCGGCGGTCCGCTGCTTGAGTATTCGAAAAGGTGGACGCGGCGTACTCGCGCTTTGAGCACGGCCGACTTTAAATCACGCCCTGGATGCCACCACGATGTAGATAGCTCGCCGGGGGAAGCTGCTCCATTCTCTGCGCTCGAGATATCTCTATTTCTGCCGATAGCCGCCGTGCGTCAACTAATACATGTCCTCGGGAACGCGGCCGGGGACGGGTTCGTAGCGATTGAACTATGCGAGGAAGTCGATGGGGATGGCCGTATTTGAAAGAACGATGATCGATCGATCAGTTCACGATTTTTATTCGACTTACAAGTAGAAAATAAATGTTGCACGTATTACAACTTAAATACTTCACGGGATTTGAGTTATTCGTCGACAAGTTCGACTGGATTTAAAGCGACGATAATTCAGAATATCGGAAATGTGGCGACTTTTTTTAGGTCTCAGATGGGGGACGTTCGATAAATCTGAGACTTCGCGGTGAACGGCTGATATTAAACGTTTATAGCGCGGAAGCAATAAAATTGTCGGGCGGACAGCATGCAAAAAACCTCGGGTATCGACTCGACGAATTCATAAAGCCGTTCGGGTTCTTTCGCAGGATCTGCACAGCGTCGATCTGGAGGAGTTCAAGCACGGTGGGACCAATATCACTGCCTTTCGACTAGTGGACCCAGAGAAGCCTGAAATACAGAAGGTCGTGCAAGATTGGATCTACGGCGAGAAGCGCTACAATCGGGAGCTGGACATGGGACAAAACTCCAATAAGGTAGAACGAATCATGGTTTTAGTTATCAATTTTTAATTACATAGTTTTACAAAGAATTGAATTATGAAATTGACGCCTTGATCTCGACATCGACGAATCGCAGAGATCTTTCTAAATGCGAAATCCATTTGCTCATCAAGTGGCGATCTGTCACACAGACGCGAGGCTACGAAATTTGCACGCGCACTCATGCGAACTTCATTAGCTTGCGCGCTCGTGTCGCCACGGATTTTAACAGTTACAGTGTTGCGGTGTCAATGTAATTTTC